GTCATTTGCGGCATATCGCCCGGCGGCATATCCTTATCTCCCATTTGTATTTGATTGTCTTGATTATCATTGTTACCTGGAAAATACATAGAAATAGGTAAAAACCTAATAAACTGGTTTGTATTACCCACTAGTTATAGCAAGCACTATTCACAAGGAATTAAAATATAGGCTATATCTATACTATTATAATAAAGCGTAAACACACACTTCTTTGTTGCCTAAGATGTCAGCAATTGCAGCATATTTTTGAATAATCCCTTTTTTAATAAAAAGCCCTAAACTTACGTCACGCTTTAGACTATATATTTTCTCACCATTAAACTTAGGGGTAAATATTTTGGATAAAAACCCTAATGTGGGAAAGAGATCATAAGTTGCTGCCAACATCAAGGAAGCAAGGTTGCTATGGTTAGTCATGTCATTTTGACATTTGCAAATAATTTGACAAATGTAAACAATAAAATAAAATTTTCATAATTTCATGCGGATGAAGCCGCACGGCAACAGCTAGTTACTGTAATAAAGATTTTGACTTATTTCAATACATACAAAAATGTATTTCATCTTTATATTAACACTAGCTGTTCGTTATTGTACAGCTTTATCTCAGTGAAATTATAAAAAGTGTATTTTATTGTCTACATTTGTCTTCTCAATTGTGAGCTTCAAAATTACCGTTATAATAACCTTGCTTCTCTAATGTTGGCAACTTGTAGTATATGGTCCCTTTCCAATTTATTTACCCCCTAAGTTTAAAACGTAAAAATATAAATAAGATTTATTCAAAAACCAGCTGTTCCCATTCGACGTCATCCGCATAAAATTATAAAAATCTCATTTTATTGTTCGCATTGTCAAATTATCAATTGCCAATGTCAAAATGACATGACTTAATGTCAAACCTTGGCAACATTGGTTCCTTGAGGTTGGCAACAACTTATGGTCTATTTCCCACATTAGGGTCTTTATCCAAAATATTTACCTCTAAGATTAACAGCGTGATAATATAGCCTAAAGCATGTAAGTGTAGGGTTTTTTATTGAAGAAAGAATTATTCAAAAATATGTTGTAATTTCTGACATCTTAGGCCACAAAGTAGTGTGTGTTTACGCTTTTTTTTTTTTTTTTAAATAACTTTATTAATT